ATAAAAATTGCACCATCACTTGCATTATTGACAAATTTATAGGAGGGTCTCGATGAGCTAATAGGGAGTTTAGCAAACCTCGACGGCAACGGGAACGGGAACGTCACTGAACAAAAGAATTAATGAGCAGAACAATGGCTGTGCACGTGAGTTATAATTCTTGGTACATTTCTTTGCCGTCATTTGCAAGACAACAACGTAAAATGACCAAATTTTGCGTTGTCTGGAGAACGTGAACCACGACGGCTAATTTTTTAAATTTTTATTTCAAATTTATCGCTGTTCCGGATTTAGTTTTGCGATAGTTTTGACAGTGACAAACAAAGTAAATGACTTTAGAGTATCCCGAGACTCGTAGGTAAAATATAAATTCCTTTTTTAATCGACGTTGTCCTCGGCGTCGCCGTCGTGCTTTCGTAAACTCCCTGATAATGAGGAGTTTAAGGTCCCTTCCACACTGAGCCGTATTTCTCCGATTAGGCCTTCCGTCCACATTAATCCGTCACCAAAACGGAGCTTTTGGAAAACGCTCTTAAAACGGGAGGAATTTATAAACACCGGCTTCGCGTTTTAGAGTGGTCGCGGAAAACATTTTATTCCCCTGCCCGAGAAATGCAAATTGACGGTTTCGTTTTCAAATTCCTCCGGCGTAGTACGTTAAGAGTGTGGACGGAAAACATTTGATGCGTTTTTAGAGCTGGTGAAAACTCTGTTTTCAAATTCCTCCCGTGTAGTGTGGACGGGGCTTAAGAAAACCACAACGGCAACGGGAACGTCGCTAGAAATGGTTTAATGAGCAGTGCAATGGCTATGCACGTGCATAATAATTCTTGGTACATTTCTTTGCCGTCCTCTACAAGACAACAACGTGAAATTACTAAATTCTGCGTTTTCCAGGTGTTTTCTGGAGAGCGTGAACCACGACGGATAATTTTAAAATTTGTATTTCGAATTTTACGCTGAGTTCCTTATTCCTCTTCGAGGTAGTTCTGACATTGAGAAACAAACTAATTGAATGACTTTAGAGTATCGCAGGATTCGTAGGTAAAACATAAATTCATTTTTATTAGGCCGGTTTAAGCAAACTGCGATGGCAATGGCAACGAGAACGCCACCAAACAATAGATTTAATGAGAAGAACAATGGCTGTGCATGTGCGTTATAAATCTTTGTATATTTCTTAGCCGTCCTCTGCAAAACAACAACGTGAAATGACAAAGTTCTGTGTATTTTGGAGAACGCGAACGACGACGGCTAATTTTTCGTGTTTTCCTTTGGAATTGAAAGCTGGCGTTACATATTTAGCTTGAGCAAGTTCTGCGACCAATAGCTGCGCTGAACAGACCTAGACAATAGCGAAATTCGAAAGTAAAATATAAATTCATTTTTGTGTAGGATACTTATGGTATCCCACACTATTGTCATCGGCTCGTGTCCGTTAAATGCAAATGAGTTTGTATCCGACACATGTACCCTTCGGGGACCTATTTTTTACTAGGCGTTGTCGTCGGGCTGGCCGTCGTCATTGCTTAAACTCCCTATTAGGGAGCTTAAGCAACGACGACGACGACGCCTAGTAAAAAATGTATTTATTTTAAAAGCAAAATTCGCGATTGTCGAGATCTGTTCTGTACGCCAATGGCTCTTAAAACGTGCTTAAGCTAAATATGCAACGACGGCGTTCAATTCCTAATGGAAATGCGAAAAATTAGCCGTTGTCATCCACGTTCTGTAGACGACGCAGAACTTGGTCATTTTACGTTGTTGTTTTGCAGAGGACGGCAAAGAAATGTACAAAAATTTATAACGCACGTTGACAGCTATTTTTTTGCTCATTAAACCTTTTGTTTAGTGACGTTCTCGTTGCAGTCGTCGTCGTGGTTTGCTTAAGCTCCCTATTACCTATGATTGGACAGTGTTAAGAAGTAAACAGCCTAAGGGATGACAATATATGCTACCATTTTAACCTATCAAAGACTGCCCAGACTAGTGGAATTAATTCGTAGCTTTCATGATGTGCTTCTCAAAGCACTCGCGTAGTTTTCTATGCTAAAGGCCCTCTAAAAAGTTAAACACGGTCTTTGATATACATGGCTACTTATGTTTTGCATCAAAAGACTTTTGCAGTCCAAACTGAGTAATCATTTAAATGTAGTTATGATCAAAGAGAACCACAGACGGTCCAAACTCAAGAGGCGACTTGAGTTGATTAATTAATAATCTATTTGAGCCTGCGCTGCAAGTGGGACGTGACTCCTTGAAGTAAGCGGCGTTTTGTTAAGTCGGCCCACACTAAGGAACATGTTGAGGGGACACTTCTCTAATGCGCAGGTGATCATACTGATTCATGTAATCTGCGCAATGCAGGAGCAAATCACACTGGCAATATTAATGTAAATTATCATTATTATTATTATTATTATTATTATTGAAAAATAAATAAAAAAAAAATAATAACAAAATTATTATTATTGTTATTGTTGTTGTTGTTACTGTTATTATTACATAAAGCTGAGCATGCCCATTTTTTGCGAAAAAGTTTTGTTGCGGGGACAAAACTTTGTCCCTGCAACATGTTGCATGAATTCACTGAGCTGGTTTGAATTCGTGCGTCATCTGAAGCAGGGACAAAATGACCTCAATTTTCAATATCGCATCTTGTGCACTGCTCTTGCAAACGTTACCTGCTACAACATAGAAATGAACCAAAATCCTCTTCGTGTGCACCAGCTTACGTACTGTGCCTGCAACATGCATCCTATATAGGCATACACGGGAATTACCGGGCTTGTCCCCATTTCGAGTCCCACAACATGTCCCTCAACGTGTGCGGACCTTTACAATACCGATCGTTGAGACTTTGAGCGCCTTGAAAGACGTTGTTTGGAGTTCGAGATAACGTGAAATCAGT